CACCAGAAGCACCATACCTCCACCACCAGGACTGCCTCACCAAACAACCCAGTCGCGAAGCTGGTGCGGGGAGAGGGTCTCCTGTCAACGAGACTGCTGCTGCTGTCCAACGCCAGAACCCCCAGCAGGAGCACCCACAAACCACCACCACTAGGACTCGCATTACCCCCAGAGTCAGCACCCCCAGAACCAGCACCCCCAAACTCAGCAACCTACGGACGAGCACCCCCAGGGTCCGCACCCTCAGGGTCCCCACCCCCAGCAGCACCAGAGTCCACAGCAACATGCTGCGGAGGAGTTGAAGACGCCCAAGGCGGAAAACCAGGAGGGGTCTCCAATCGCGAGGCGCGGCGAGTGACCGCCGTGTCGTCAGCAGCGGGGTCACACCCCTCAGCTGGGCCAGAGATGTCAGAGGAGACCTCCAAAGGCTCAATCAAGGGGGATGGGTCGACCTGCGATACACCTGAGGGAGCAGGCCCCTGTGGGGGGAGGGGGTATACCGGGGGTGGGACCTGGGACGAAGAAGAGGGGCGGCGGGGAGAGTAGGGAGGACACGTGCGGGTGAAGATGGTAGAAGTAGACCGACTCGTCAAAGGTGACGTCCTGTGAGGAAAGGACGCGGTGCGAGACGGGGTGGTAAAACTTCCAGGGCGGGGCGTCGGTGGGGAATTCAAGGAAGACGCAGCGGAGAGCGCGAGGAGAGAGCTTGCTCGTTGTGGTATCACGGACATGGGAGAGCGCGCCCCAGACCCCAAACTCCGACGCATCGCCAACCTCTTCCGTCCAACGTAGTGTGAGCAAGGTCTTTGGCACAGAGACACGGGGCTAGAGGTTGGCCGATGCGCGGCGTATCGGACCGCAAACGGCCACAGAAATTGGGGAGCAGTCGAATGGATCATGGAGGTGTGAGCAGCCTCCATGACCAAGCCAATGTGACGCTCAGCAACCCCATTCTCTTGTGAAGAGGCCGGAAGCATGAACGACTAGGCGATGCCCTGCGCACGACAAAAGTCTCGAAGGAGGCCGGAAGAAAACTCACCGCCTCTGTCAGAGTGCAATCGCAGGACCGGGAGGTCCTGCTGAAACCGCGCGCTCAGCTGGCGACGAACAGCGATGATCCAGTTGATCAAAACATAGCGGACATCCACCTTGCTCCGCAAGGTGAAGACCGTGGTGTGGCGTGTGTAGTCGTCAACAACCAGCAGAGAGTAGCGCTTCTGATCCTGTCCACGAATGCGGGCTGGGTCCCACACGTCCATATTGAGAGTCTGCAGAGGAGCAGTGATCAGCGGAAACTAGGAGGAGTGAGGAGTGGTGCGCTGCTGCCCCTCGACGCACGGCGGTGCAAGCGAGCGCGGGAGTGGGGGTAGGGACCTGGGGAGGCCAGAGAATAAGAGACAAGAGTGCATGCCACGCAGGCGCGGTAGGGAGGGGTGACCAAGATGGTGGTGCCAGAGGAGACTCTGGTGCGAGAGTAGCCGGCACGAACAAGACACAGCTAACTGACCTGACGCAGCTACCTGACACGACGCAGCTACCTGCGCAGACTCAGTGGTCAGTGTGTATAGGCCAGACCCAGGGCTCTGAATGAACGTGGCGAGGTGTTCGCCAGTGCGCGAGTCCGTACAAATCGCCACAAGGTCACCTCCAGGAGTAGTCACAGTGACAAATTGGTCCTGGAGGACAGCGTTACTCATTAAGTTCTTTGAGATCGAGGGGGGGTGGAAACATGTGAAGAAGCCTGAGGGGGTTGCCGAATACGGGAGAACTTTGGAGGCAGTGCTACAATTGGGCCCCTAGAGGGGTCACCCAAAGAGACCGGGACAGGTGTAGTGAGCGGTGTGACTGTGGTGCAATTGCGGAAGAAGCAGCGAGTCGCGCCTGAGTCAAGCGTCAAGGTGTGCAAAGCCTCTACAGAAACAGCACATGTGCTACCAGGCTCATAGGCACCTAGACTAATAGCCTCTGTATGATCAGAGACGCGTCCCTGAGAAACATACTCGCGAAGCTGTTGCGGTGAGAGGGCCTCCTGCTGACGCTGCTGCCGCTGCTGTCCAGTACCTCCAGCACCATAACCTCCACCGCCAGGACCGCCTCGCTGAATAACCCACTCACGAAGCTGATGTGGAGAGAGAGTGTCTCCACACACACTCGCCTTCCCTCAGGCCCCCGCGGACCCGTGAGAGCCTAGCCTGGGAGACCTCTGGCAGGTGCTAGAGGATGAGATGGAGGGGGTGATGAGGGAGTAGGGTGGTACAAGCTGGACAGGTTTGGCAGTCATATGGGTTAGAATGGAGGGGCTCTAGAGAAGATGGATGATTGGGGTGCAGGCTATCTTGAGGGTGTTGGGTCTACCGTGTTAAGGGTAGCAAAGGCATGTGGAGGAATATGTAGGGCCATGAATGCTTGCATGTCTTGAGTAGACGGCTACACTAGATCTACCCCTGCCATGCTTGTACCTTTATGAACCTATCAATGAATGACTGCTTAAGAGTCTCCTGGCGACGAGACCGCCGCTGCTGTCCAGTAACGCCAGCAAGCATGAAATCCCAAGCTCCAGGACCAGAGCTGCCTCGCCAAACAACCCACTCGCGAAGCTGTTGCGTCGATAGAGTCTCCGGCTGATACTGCTGCTGTCGTCCACCGCCAGACGCTGCTACGACTGTGATAGTGGCCATGACAGGCAGTGGCAGTCAGTAGCAGCGGCGCAAGGGCGTCAGAAGCAACCGCTGTAGTTGCAGCTGTAGCAGTAGAGGTAGTCGCTGTAGTGGCAGGGCAGCGCACGGGCTGCAGGGCAGGGCAGCGCGCATGCTGCAGGGCAGGGCGGCGCGCATGCTACAGGGCAGGGCGGCGCGCGGGCTGCAGGGCAAGGCAGCACGCAGTCTCCAGGGCAGGGCGGCGCGCGGGCTGCAGGGAAGGGCAACGTGCGGGCTGCAGGGCAGGGCGGCGCGCGGGCTGCAGTGCAAGGAAGTGCACGGGCTGCAGGGCAGGGCAGTGCGCGGGCTGCACAGCAGGGCAGCGCGCGGGCTGCGGGGCAGGGCAGCGCGCGGGCTGCAGGGCAGGGCGCGAGTAGGTAGCGCGCGTGCGGGCAGGGCGCACGTAGGCGGCGCTCGTGGGGGCAGGGCGAGCGTAGGCAGCGTGCGTGCGGGCAGAGCACGTGTCTGCAGCGCGCGTGCAGGCAGGGCGCGCGTAGGCAGCGTGCTGTGCGGGCAGAGCGCGTGTAGGCAGCGCGCGTGCGGGCAGGGCGCAAGCTGCGCGTGTGCTTGGCGCAGGTAGCGCGCGGCGAGCATGGGAATGCGCAGCGAGCAGGGCCGCGCGCGGCGAGTAGGGCAGCGTGCGGCGAGAAGGGCAGCGCGCGGCGAGCAGGGCAGCGCGCGGCGAGCAGGGCAGCGCGAGGCGAGAAGGGCAGCATGCGGCGAGCAGGGCAGTGCGCGGCGAGCAGGGCAGCGCGCGGCGATCAGGTCAGCGCGTGGCGATCAGGGCAGCGCATGGCGAGCAGGGTAGCGCGCGGTGAGCAAGGCAGCGCGCGGCGATCAGGGTAGCGCGCGGCGAGCAGGGCAGCGCGCGGCGAGCAGGGCAGCGCGCGACGAGCAGGGCAGCGCGCGGCGAGCAGGGCAGCGCGCAGCGAGCAGGGCAGTACGGGCAGCAGTGCAGCATGCATGGCAGCAGGGCAGCGCGCTACGGGGCAGCACGCGGCAGGGCAGCGCGATAGCGCTGGGCAGGGCAGTAGTGCGACGGCGTACTGGGCAGGGCAGGGGGCGCGCGCGGCGAGCAGAACAGCGCGCGACGGCAACAGCTCCTGAGGTAGTACGTACGGTTCGTGGGCCCTAACGAAGCGGTCCTACGGAGGGACCTGCTCTGAATACCATATCAGATTTAGAACGTAGGAATGAATGACTAGTAGGGGAGAGTGAGTACACGTACTAGGAATGACCTAAAGTGTTGCACTCCTTAGAGTATGCCCCACTACAGCCTAGAGATAACAAATGCAGTTTGACAAGGTGCGCCAGGTGAAACCAGGCGAGGAACGGTCGGAGCACGAAGCAAACCGAGCTAGGAGTGAGGAGCGAGAACAGCTAGAGCGCTAGGTGAAACTAGGCGTCGGCCGGAGCACGGAGCAAACTGAGCTAGGAGCTCGAGTACCATCTCATAAAGTAAACACAACGGAATGTCGAACTAGGAAGAGACAAATATGCAAACCTAAAAGCTCTACCCACTATAAGGCACCTCACTACAACCTATCATAGTTATTACATTTTGACGTACGAACGCTGATTGTAAATCGAGTTGTACATGCATATTTGATTGGGCGCTAGATTCTGCCATTTTCATAACGGTCGCACACACCATTTTCGCCTGGAACATGGATTAAACGTGGCAGCTGCCATGCTGCACCCAAAACGATGCACTTTCGGGGCTGTCCGCGCCCAAACTTCCAAGGAAGGCGATCTGCGATTCAAGTATGAGACTCGAGAGAAATTGTGTACCCCCTAAGATGTACCTCGCTACAGCCTAGCAATCATATATATTTAGTTCCCTCCTCTCCTCCTCCCTCCCAGCCAAACTTCTTGGAGCGTGATTTTTGCAATTTCCGCATGTACCGTAAATGTTTACTTTTTGTCTGTACTCGTTTTTTCTCATTAGTCCAATCCTTCCTTGATTCGTCAACTGCACTCGTAACAGCTCGTTACATGTTTTCATGTATGCTTCTCGAATCTGGGTTTTCGAGTACTCGGCTGTTCTGGTGGTGACACGTATGTCCATTCGAATGCATCCACGTCGCTACCGAAATTGGGTCGCGAGCACGTCACCTTACAGTCGCCAAATGGCGTCTGGTCTGGCGAACCCGAGGTCCGCCTAGTGTGGCTGGCAGGCCCCTGATTCCTCCACACCCGAGCATATCCAACCCAATTTCCATCGAAGTCTCAACCTCTAATCTTCCAAGAGACATTTTCGAAGTAACACGAATTTTGCTGTCTTCCTCCTACAATCTGAACGCCATGGCGTCGTTCACCCTCTCGTCGCCTGTCCTGCCCAACTCCATTCTGTCCCCGGCTCCTCACACTGCAGCAGTTCAGCAGATTTCCATTCCAGCCGTTTCTGGCCTGAGGGTGGGAGCGCGTCAGCAGGAGAGCAAGCGCAGCGTTTCGCACACATCCACCCCAGCGTCGCCACTGCTATGCCGCGCGTCCGCCGAGAATGCCGGCGACGCTGCAATCAGCCGTCGCGGCGTGATGCTCACCGGCGGGTTGGCCGGTGTGCTGAGCGTGGTGCCGCCGGTGGTGGGGTGGGCAGTGGCGGCTGAGGACCTGTCGGAGTGGGAGCAGGTGCCGCTGCCCGTCGCGCCGGGCGTCGTGCTGCTCGACATCGCCTTCGTTCCCGACGAGCCCGACCACGGTACGTGCCGCCTGGCTTGCATTCCCATCCTTGCGCACATAGAAAGCGTCCCCTTCCATGTTCGCCAGACCGCCATAGCACAACAAGAAGGCGCGTTTCAGAGGGGTGCCGTAACAAGAACCTATGCAGCGAAAAGGTTATCCTTTCGTACCCTCGGCAGCGAAAGGATTTGATTGTCGAACAAGCAAAGGTTCAGAGGATGTTGAACGATTGTCATTATGGCGTGTCATGCCGTGGCCTTTTCTAGGCATTCTGTCAGATTTGCCGCGTCTATGCATTGTATCTGCTCCGCCGCTGATGTTGAAATCACTTTTGAGAGTTCTCGTAAGCGACTACAACGTATTATCCCGGCTCCGCGGCCGCCATGCATGTGCGTGGAACTAGGGTTCTCCGTTTGGCTCATGGCGCGCGCATGACTGCCACCCCCACGCCCTCGTGACCTCGCCCATCTCTGTATCTCCGCCCTGCATTCCCCCTTGTGCGCGACGCAGGGTTCCTGCTGGGCACGCGGCAGACGCTGCTGGAGACGCGCGACGGCGGGCGCACGTGGGCGGCGAAGGAGATCCCGTCGGCGGAGGAGGAGGACTTCAACTACCGGTTCAACGCCATCAGCTTCCAGGGCAAGGAGGGGTGGATCGTCGGCAAGCCCGCCATCCTGCTCTACACCAACGACGCCGGCACCACGTGGTCGCGCGTCCCTCTCTCCGCGCGTCTGCCCGGCACCCCTGTGAGTCGCGCTGCGTGGTGCACGGCAGTTCGTTGGGACCTCGGCGACACCACCGCACCCCCGCACCACTGCATCCTGCACCAATCATTCGTGCTTCCATTGTCAACCATAGCGTTCCGCCTCGGTGTCTTTACCTTCTCATCCAACCCCTCACGTTCTTTCTCCATCCTCCCTCCGGTTCTCTCTGCCCCTCGCAACCCCCTTCTCCCTATCGCTGCCCCTACGCCTGCCCGTCTGTCCGCCTGTCCGCCTGTTCTCCTGCCTGCCTGCGCGTACCACAGGTGTCGATCTTCGCGACGGGCGAGCGCGCGGCGGAGATGGTGACGGACGAGGGCGCCATCTACGTGACGGCCAACGGCGGCTACAACTGGCGCGCCGCCGTCGAGGAAACCATCTCCGCCACGCTCAACCGCACCGTATCGAGCGGCATCACGGGCGCGAGCTACTACACGGGCAGCGTGAGCACGATCAACCGCTCGCCCGACGGCAGCTACGTGGCCGTGTCCAGCCGCGGCAACTTCTTCCTCACCTGGGAACCCGGCCAGGTGCGCTCAAACCCTCCCTTCCCCCACCCCCCCACCCTTCTCTTCTTCTCCTTCCCCACCCCTTCCCCCCTCATTTCCCCTCCCCCCCCACCCCCCCCTCGAATGGTCCTTTCATTAATATAGAACTTTGGAGTACAGACAAGAGACAAGCGGCCTGGTCACACACACTGTTATTACCATTGCTATCTTGTCATCCCCACACTTCTGCCCCCACCTACCTATCCGCCCTTCTCCCATGACCTATACCTTCCCCCCCACAAACGTCTCTCCTCTCCCACTCCCAGCATGTTCTCTCGTTCACTGCCGCCCCCCTCTCCTGCGCTCGCCTTGCTCCCGCGCTTCGCCTGCGTGCAGACCTTCTGGCAGCCGCACAACCGCAGCAGCGCGCGGCGCATCCAGAACATGGGGTGGCGCGCGGACGGCGGGCTCTGGCTGCTCGTGCGCGGCGGAGGTCTCTTCCTCGGCCAAGGGGAGGGGGTGAGTGGGCGGGTGCACGGGTGGACAGGTGGACGGATGGACAGGTGGACGGGTGGACGGGTGGACGGGTAGACGGGTGGACGGGTGGACAGGTGGAAGGGTGGACGGGTGGATAGGTGGACGGGTGGACGGGAGAGAGGAGAGGGGTGAGCAGAGTGGTGGAGGGGAGGCAGAGGCGGTGTGAGACATCAGTGCGGATGAAGCAGGGGGTGTGTGGGAGGTTGAAATCATTGCTCTGAGGGGGCTTGAAATCAAGGTGGAAGATATGGTTGATGCAGCAAATGTGTTAATGGAAAGTTAATAGCCTAAGGTGAAGCCTTGCTGTGTGTGCGTTTCTTTCTGTACGTGCTTACACGCTCTCATGTCCTTGTGTGCTCATGCGCTGTTCTGCTGCCCCTCACTCATGTGCTGCCGCCCCTCACTCCTGGCGCCTCTCCTCACTCCTGTGCTGCCGCTCTTCACTCCTGGCGCCTCCCCTCACTCCTGTTCTGCCGCCCCGCACTCCTGTATTGCCGCCCCTCACCCCTGTGCTGCGGCCTCTTACCCCTGTGCCGCTGCCTCTTACCCCTGTGCCGCTGCCTCTTACCCCTGTGCCACTGCCTCTTACCCCTGTGCCGCTGCCTCTTACCCCTGTGCTGCCGCCTCTTACCTCTGTGCTGTCGGCTCTCACTCCTGTGCTGCCTCCCCTTATCCCTGTGCTGTCTTCTGCTCTCCTTCATTCCTGTGCGGCTGCCCCTATCCCTGGGCAGGTCTCCGAGTCGTTTGAGGAGGTGCGCATCGCCAGCCGTGGCTTTGGACTGCTCGATCTCGGATACAAGAGCAATGTGAGTCATGGGGTACATCAGCGATGGGACAATGATGGGTACAAAGATTGCTGTGTGTTACACGCATTTGAAGAGAGTGTTGGTTAGGAATCAATGTGTGTGTGTGTGTGTGTGTGTGAGGGTGATCACTGAAACTATGTGCTTGCAGATTAGTTGCAGCCATTGTTCTCGCCTCCTCCTCTCTCATCTCTTCCTGTGCCCTTCTGTCTCTCAAATCCGCCTTTCTGCCCTCACATTCCGCTTCCCTGCCCCCCTTACCGGTATCTCTGTGTCCACCTCCAATTTTCCCGCCCTTTTGTCTTCCTAATTGGTTCAGGACGAAGCGTGGGCAGCGGGCGGCAGTGGGGTGCTGCTGAAGACGGTGGACGGGGGCAAGACATGGGTGCGGGACCGAGTGGCGGACAACCTGGCAGCCAACCTGTACAATGTCAAGTGAGTTCATGCCACTTTCCCTCCTGTTATTACTGCTGCTGCTTCTTCACCTTTTTCCCTCGGCGGAGAAATAATTATTAATTACTGTGCTTGTCATGTACTTATGTGGGCAGGTTCATTTATGGAAAGGGCTTTATTCTTGGGAACGATGGCGTGTTGCTTCGTTATGCTGCTTGATGGACACAAAACTGATCCAAATTTTGATTATTGATTACGGTAGTATCTACTAGACCTGTAGAATTTTGTACCTTTACTATGCATTGAGTGTACAACAAAATGTCAAAGGCGTTGAACATGTGACATTCCAAATGATGCGTACGGCCTGAACAATTAAAGCCCGAGTACAGCATGGTAATTTTCAAGTTCAAGATTCTTGAACTTGAAGTTGCCAAAAACAGGGTTATCCTACTTGTTGTGAAAAAACTCTCGCGATGTCAGGCAATCGTCCTGCGACAACCTTTGGCGAGACCCCTTTTCCCCTCGTCAGTCAATCTCTTTTTTCGCTACACTGACTTGCCGAAATTATTGTGTTCAAGGTTTCGCTAACACTTTCAAGACCACATAACTTGAAAAATTACCATGCTGACTCCGGGCTTTAAAAATGGTGTACCGATATTTAGTGTAAGACTCGAATCGAAACCCTAGTACATACCAGAGTCCTTTCACCTTCAGCGGCACGCACACGCCCCTTACCAGCAACTCGCACCCAACCAGCAGCAACACGCCTCCACTGTCAGAGGTCCAGTGATGATCCCCGATTAATCCTAGGGAAGGGTTACAGGCATGTTGGCCTGTGGGGTTATGGGCGCATTCACCCGCTATATAACCAAGCCCTTTAATCCTAGTGGTTAGTGGCTGGGATTCAGACATCCTCGCTGACGAACGTGGGGGATGCCGATCGCTCCTTGCCAAATGTATGGTTCGGCCCGTTAGCATCGTGTTTCGGGTTGACCACGCGTCAACGCGTCGTATCGTTCGGCTGCACGTACGATATTGCGGTAGCTACTGTAGTTTGTATCAAACATATATATATATATATGTTATAGATTTGGGTAGGCTTAGTGGGGTACATACTGTGGGGTACAACCCCTTAGGTTTCATTCTTGTACCAATTCTCTCGATAGTCAATTCCATTGATGCCTAGATTCAAAGATGGTATCTAGAGCCTAGAGGTCTTTAGGACCTAAGATTAGGGGCCACCCGTTACCACGTTACCTCACTTGCCTGCCTGCCTTGCCTGCTACCCGCGCGCGCCTCGGCTGCACGCGTGCGGCCCTTTTTTTTTTCCCGCGCGCAGCCCGTTTAGACCCGTTTAGGCCCGTTTTCGGCCCAGCGCGCCACGTCAGCCGCCCGCGCAGCCTGCCGCCGGCCCGCGCGCCACGTAAGCCGCCCGCGCGCAGCCCGCTTAGGCCCTGCGCGCCGCGTCCGCCGCCCGCGCAGCCCGTTTAGGCCCGTTTTCGGCCCCGCGCGCCACGTCAGCCGCCCGCGCAGCCTGGCGCCGGCCCCGCGCGTCGCCTCCTCCGGTGTGCAGCCCGCAACTGCTCGCCGCGCCGCCTTAGGAGCCAGCGCGCGGCCTACTGCTGCACCGTGCCCCGCCTTAGGAGCCCGTGTACGGCCCGCTGCTGCACCGCGCGCCGCTTTAGAGGCCCACGCGCGGCCCACTGCTTCCCTCCGTGCTGCCTTAGGAGTCCGTGCACCGCCACTGCAGTCCGTGCGCCGCCACTGCAGCCTTGCACGCAATCTCTCCTTGCTTGCCTTTTGCCTTGCCGCCTGCGCACTAGACTTGCCTACGCTGCACGCATGGCGACTCTCAACGTGCTCACGTTCGATCCTGACGGTCGCCCAGTAGAGTTCACCACCTGGCTCGACGACCTGCAACTGTTCCTCATGACTGATGCCAAGGACGGTGTTTCCCTATTTGATTACGTGTCGGGCACTGCCGTTGCTCCTGCTAACACTGAGCCTGCTCTAGACCGCTCCCAGTGGCAGACCTGCGATGCTGCTGCGCGCCTAGCTATTCGCAACCATCTGCCGATCACAGAGCGCGCACATTTTAGCCAGCACAAGACTGCCAAGGCACTGTACGACGCTGTAGTTGCCTGCTACTCTTCCCCGGCCACTACAGCTCTCGGTCGACTTATGCTACCCTACATGTTCCCCGACCTGTCCTCGTTTACCACCGCTGAGGACCTCATCTTTCACCTACGCGCTAGTGACACTCGCCTTCGCGCCGCCCTTCCACCCGAGTTCCTCGCAGAGAACCGCCCCCCGATGTACTTTACTCTCTACTTCCTCATCACCCGCCTCCCTGACACTCTTCGCTCAGTCAGGGACCACTTCCTCGCCCTTGACCCCCATTCTCTCACTGTCGACGACCTCGAGAAGCGCCTCCTCGCAGCAGAGAAGAACATCTTCGCTGTAAGTGCTGCTCGTGGTACTCCTCGCTCTCCCCTCTTTGAGGGGTGCTCCCCCTCCCCTCTTACCCCCTCCTACGCCTCCGCAGCTGCTGCTCTCGACTACCTTGGTGCTGAGGAGGTCGGGGCTGCTTCCGCTCCTAGTGGGAAGCGCCGCAGCGGCAGGGGCAGCAAGGGTGGCAGGGGAGGTGGGGGTGGCGGTGGAGGGGGCGGTGGTGCAGGCGGCGGGGGAGGTGGAGGTGGTTGGGGTGGTCGTGGGGGTGGAGGCGGTGGAGGTGGTGGTGGGGGCGGCGGAGGCACTGGGAGCGGTGGAGGGGGTAGCAGCGGCGGTGGGGGAGGAGGGAGCGGTGGTGGTAGTGGTGGTCAGGGCCAGCAGCAGCCGCAGCAGCAGCAGCAGCAGCAGCAGCGTCAGCGCCAGACCCCCACTTCCCAGCAGCTTCTTGACTGGTATGCCGGGCGTGGGGCTTCTGGGGGTCCTGTTCGCTGCCCCTATATCATTCGCACAGGTCCCCGCACTGGTCGCCAGTGCACAGGTTATCACACTGAGCAGCGCTGCTTCGCTCGGCTTAGCGACGCCTGGCGCGCCAAGTTTCCTGATGCTCCTGAGTTCCCCAACTGGGCAGAGCTGCTTAGGCGTGATGTACCTATCTTTGACCTGACTGTGAGGCTATTCTTGCTGCTATGTATGCATTGTCTGTTAGTGCCGAGGGTGACTGCTACTTGTGTGTGCCGCCGGATCCTGGTATAGTCCCTGGTATAGCGCCTGCAGCACTAGGTGCTTGTGAGTCTGCTCCCCCTGGTACTACGCCTGCACAGGCCTTGCACACTTTTACACTTGACTCTGGTGCTTCCCGCTGTTTCTTTCGCGACAGTACCACAGTCACTCCCCTCCCTGCACCTGTTCCTGTCTCACTGGCCGACCCCTCTGGGGGCCCAGTGCTTGCACGATCTTCCACCGTGCTTCCGTGTCCGGCGGTCTCGTCTCGTGGGCTGTCTGGTCTCCACCTCCCCTCGTTCTCTACGAACTTGGCGAGCAACGCTGTCCTCCAGGATGCGGGGGTTGACACCTTCACCCCTGGCCGGCAGCGTGTGGCGATTTGCACGTGCTCCGGGACCGGCCGCCACCTGGCCACGTTCACTCGTGCGCCAGGGTCCAGTCTGTACACCCTCACCACAGCGTCACGCTCCGCCCCTTTGTCTCCCCAGTTACTCGCGTCTGCTCAGGTAGCTACCCAGTGTGAGTGTCGCCGGCTGTCGCACGACACTCTCCTGTGGCACCACCGCTTGGTCGCCCCTCCCTACCTCGCCTGCGTAGCATGCACTCTCGCTTCCTGGTTTCTGGTCTTCCCAGGTCTCTGCCTGCCCTCCCTCCCTCACCTGCGCCGCCCTGCATTCCTTGCGTCGAGGGGCGGCAGCGCGCCGCTCCTCACTCCTCCTCGTTCCCTCCCACAGAGGCTCCCCTGCAGACTCTCCACCTGGACGTGTGGGGCCCAGCCCGCGTCCGTGGACAGGGCCACGAGCGGTACTTCCTGCTGGTTGTCGACGACTACACGCGTTACACCACGGTCTTCCCCTTGCAGCGCAAGGGTGATGTCCCTGATGTTTTGATCCCCTGGATCCGCGCTGTTCGTATCCAGCTCCGCGAGCGGTTCCAGTCGGACTTTCCTGTCCTGCGTCTGCACTCTGACAGAGGTGGTGAGTTCTCCTCAGACCTCTTGGCAGCCTTCTGTGCGGAGCACGGCATCCGCCAGACGTTCACGCTTCCGGCCTCTCCGCAGCAGAATGGGGTTGCTGAGCGCCGCATTGGCTTAGTCATGGAGATCGCTCGTACCTCCATGATCCATGCGGCTGCCCCCCATTTTCTGTGGCCGTTTGCGGTCCGGTACGCCGCGCATCAGCTCAACCTCTGGCCCCGTGTCTCCTTGCCGGAGACCTCGCCCACACTGCTGTGGACGGGGAAGGTTGGCGATGCGTCGCGGTTCCGGGTCTGGGGTGCTCGTGCCTTTGTCCGCGATACCGCCGCGGACAAGCTCTCCGCTCGCGCCATTCCCTGCGTCTTCCTCGGCTTTGTCCCTGACGCGCCTAGCTGGCAGTTTTACGACCCGGCCTCGCACCGTGTCTTTCCGTCTCAGGACGTCACCTTTGATGAGTCGGTCCCCTTTTACCGTCTCTTTCCCTACCGCACTGCCCCTCCCCCCCCCCCCCCCCCCGCCGCTCTTTCTCGCCCCAGGTCCTCCCCAGGTAGACCCCCTCCCTGCGCCAGGTCCTGCTCCTTCAGGTGTCTCTCAGGTAGACCCTCCTGTACCTGAGCCTGTTGAGGTCACTGGTGACTCAGGTCCTGCTAGAGGTGGTGCTGTCCCTGGGGGTACGGAGCTTGGGGGTGCGGAGCGTGGGGGTGCTGAGCCTGGGTGTGCGGAGCCTGAGCGTGAGGACCCGGGCAGAGCTGTGATTGGGGGTGCTGAGTCTGGGGGCGCTGAGCGTGACGAGCCTGAGGGTGCGGAGCCTGGAGGTGCTGAGCCTACGCGTGTGGAGCCTGGAGGTCCTGCGTCTGGGGGTGCTGCGTCTGGAGGTGCCGAGCCTGCGTATGCGG